CTATTTTTTTAGGTTTAACCAGGCCCATAGCCAGGAATTTTTTTCGGGGGTGGGGGTGGGGGTGTTTGTTGAAGGTTTAGAAAACACCTAATACTATTACTTGTCTGTGGTGAAAGACTTCCCTCTATCCAAATTCAGAAGAAGGGGAGGGGGCGCCCTAGGGCTTCCCTCCCCATGCTACAAACCTGGCTCTGACAATTCGTCTCTTTCTTAACTCCACAGTAAAGAACTGCAGAGCGTCTGACCATTTATCGCAAATGCAGCCTCAGCGGCTGGGCTTTGATCCCATGACCTTCGGATCAGCAGTCAAACACCGTGACCACGAGACCACCATAGGGAGCGCGCTAATTTAGTCAGAGAGAGAGAATAAATTGAGAAAGGGGCAGGGAGGTCAACCAGAATCGCAGCATCCGATTTGCTACGCTGCACCAGGGGAGGAGAGAATGGGGAGAGTTTTAAAATATGCCTATGGTTTCACAACGTGAATGAATGCTCGTTACTGAGTATTGCATGCGGTAGGTAGGTCTATATATTGTTCTACTTGACTACTATATAGGCCAAGGTGAATTTTGAAACAACACGAGGTTAGGCGTAAAATTATGACCAGCAAGCTGTTGATTGGTTAGCAAATTGTCTGATCTAAATGTTTGTGACACTCTGTCTACTAAAAGATCCCTAATGTCTCAAACTAAGAACGAGCGCCATATTCCCTCGTGGCGCTTCCGGATTTGCAGCATGATTTGCAGCACGATTTGCGACGTCAGAAGTTTGTTCACGGGACTTCATGATAAAGGAAGCTCTCGATTGGCCGATATACGAAAGACATCTGCTGCGAATCGCCACCAGTGTTGCTTAGCTATGCAGTCACGAGCCCTTCCCGCCTGGTCTCGCATGACTATTGCGAGCGATAAACTCATTTCACTTCGCTTTCGGCGTTTGCGATCTGGCCCAGCGGAAATAGCGGTGCCTATTCGGAAAAGCGTGAAATCCTGACTACGTCTACGCTTTCTGTTGTCATTGCACGTGTCTTCTAAAGAAATAGAGGCCAGAAAGAAATAGCGCTGGTAGGAATGGTAGTGAAGGTGAGAAATAAACTATACTGTTTCACCTTTGAACAGAGGGTGGTTTAGGACAATGCCACCTAGACAAAATTCAGGCCAGCTCACTCCCCCTGGCATGGCCTCTGAGGTCACTCACTCTCGACCCTTATCTCTTGCCAAGTAGACGTGCGCGTGCATGCTCCCGCCATTCGATTGAGTAAAGATTGCTAAGCCTGACGACGCTTGTCGTGGCTTGCCGATGTTTCCCTTTGCGACTGCCGGTAGAAGACCGGGTTTTAGGCGTCTGTGAAGTGCTGCGTTGGTGATGTCGCGTAGTTCGTTCGCTGAATGTTTTCATGGTGTACCCCTACAAGCATTCGCAACGGGACAGTGTTGTGTGCTCAACTTTCGCCGATATTGGCCATGTACCGAAGCCAGAGTGTTTTCATTCCCCGAGGACGACTGGACAACGCAATGAGAGCGTGTCGTTCATCGGGATGACAACGATGTCCGTTCTCTCCGTGAGCCGAAGGTACGCTTTCAATTCGTTGTAAAGGCAATATCTCTAACCCGCTTTGTTTTTTCTTTAAGATAATACCGTGTGTTCTTCTGACTTATTAGCGTAAGTCTTGGTACTTACTTTTAGCTTTTAGCTGGGTGTCCCCTGACGCCCCCCCCCCCCCCCCTGCGATAACGTAGCGTCCTGAAACAGTGCTATAGCATAGCCTTCCTGTGCATAGAGCTCATGTTTTAGACAAGCGTGGTTGCAGAGATGGGGCCTGCTTGAACGCAAAACTCGTCATGAAAAAAAAAAAAAACCGGCAGCACAGTACATAAGCGCTCACGCAGCAGAAAACAAAACAAAAGAAAACTACAGAAGTTCAGCAAATAAATAAGTACAGTTTCTATGCATCTTCTGAACTTTGTGTCATGTGTGCGTGCAAATAATGGATAAAAAAATTGCCCGCAGCTTCCCTCGGGGGAACACTGAGGAGGATGCGGAGCATATAATTGGTTAACGGGGTGTTAAAGTGCGACTTACTTGGGTCGATGGCTAAATTGGTTAACGTGGTTGTGAAATGGGGTGTTAAATTGCGACTTACTTGGGTCGATGGCTAAATTGGTTAACGTGGTTGTAGGAGGGGGTGTTAAATGAGTGAACACGTACACACGTATGCGAAAGGGCGGCGCTGGTCGAAGAGACGTCGATCATTGTGTTTGTGGATTCGTTGGAATTCATTTCACCGCGACCTTGGACGTCGACGCGCCGTACAAACCAACCGACGAGCGGCAACTGAGCGAGCGAGCGCCGACCTTGAGTATATATACAGCACGACGGCGCATGCACTGTCAGCTGTTGAATGTTCTCGAAGCGCGACGCCACATGCGCGTCCACTGGAGAATCAGGAGAATTGTAGATGTCGAACGCGGTGTGTAGAGGAGGAAGGGTGCACAGATGGTGGAGGAGTGAAGCGCGCGCGGTGTGTAGAGGAGGAAGGGATGCACAGATGGTGGAAGAGTGGGCGACGGCGCGACGGCGCATGCGCGCGCGTCAGCTGTCGAATGTTCGAGAAGCGGTGCGGACGGCGCGGACGGCGCACTACAAGGCGCGAGTATAAGATGCTTCCGCATCTAAAATTGAATTTTGCCTAATTTGTTATGTCGATTTGCTGGGCCATCAAAGATTGCTTCTATTAGGACTGTCTCCGTGGCGCAATTGGCTCGCGCGATCGGCTGTTAACCGAAAGATTGCTTCTATCATAGTGTGGTTTTTGGACGTTAAACCCTGCATATCAATCAAAACTTTGCTCCTATAAATCGGTGAGACGTTCGGTAGCGTACAATCTTTTCATATTCATAGGTGCATGAGTAAATGGCTCACATAAATACCACCAAAGAATTTAAAAGTGGGATACATTCCTTAAAGCAGCGCTGATTCAGACGCGAAAGGCGAAATTAAGCTAGTGCGCAAGCGAAATTCGCTGCGAACGTTTCATCTTTGCACGGACGTCGTTGGTGGCGATGGGTTCTCAGGCTCCCGTGCGCACTCGCTCGGTCAAAATGCGTGACGTCACAGCGGCAGTGAGCAGGCCTGTAAATACTCTTCCAGGTGGGTAATTCTCAGGAGCCTTTTAAGTATTGATGTTTGTCTGCTGTACTGCAGACACCCGCGAAATACGAAAAAAAAAATGGGACACGTATCTATGTGCTCCGCTGCAAATGTCACCAAAAGACAATAGTCTTCCACCGGCCTTCTTTCGTGCATAGCATTGTGTTTTCAGGGCAGCCTAAAAAGCACTAGAGTCTTGAGATTTACGTATCTACGTATTTTCTAGTAAAGTAAGCCCCGCCGTGGTGGTCTAGTGGTTAAGGTACTGGGCTGCTGATCCGCAGGTCGCGGGATCCAATCCCGGCGGTGGCAGCTGCATTTTTGATGGAAGCGGAAATGTTGTAGGCCCGTTTTCTCAGATTTGAGTACACGTTAAAAAGCCCCAGGTGGTAGAAATTTCTGGAGCCCTCAACTACGGCGCCCCTCATAATCATATGGTGGTTTTGGGACGTCAAATCCCACATATCAATAAATCAATCTAGTAAAGTCATGCACCAACTAACACTTACGTACTGATGTCTTGACTCAGGTGTGCGTAATATTTACCTTTTGATCAACAACGTTCACAACTATGTATGCAGCCTCCTGTTCAAGATGGATTCATCAAGTGCTTAAACATTGGCCGGTTGGCTCCAACGTGTGACAGTCGATTAGAAAGACAGACCTAGGTTTCTGCGTTCAGGTATCTCAAGTAGGATTATCATTGTTTAAAAAGTACTACGTCATATACTTACTTGTGCATCTTGATTTTAACAGCGCACTGGCGAACGAGGACGTAGGAAGGAACGAAGCAACAAAAGGGAGAAGGCAGCGAGGTTAACCAGAAAGACATCCGGTTGGCTACCCTACATTGGGGGATTAGGGAAGGAGACAAAAGTATGAGAAAGAGGCGCATGAGGACTAGAAGAAAAGTAAGAGCACAACACGCGCGCTGACTTGCAACCGATTTTTGTTCAGAAAAAGACCCAAAAATAAAAATGAAGGAAATATGAACAGAAAAGACTAATCATTGATATCAATGGGTGCAGGGGCGCTTATAAGTATTGGAATACCGCATCACTCAGCGCGATAGAAGGTACACTGATACAATCTCGCTGAGCGATGCGGGATCAAGATGAATCCGTACCTCGCTCAATTTGCAATTCTCACTTGCTTGTGCACTATGATTGGAGTGCTGCCTAATGTTCCGTATGCGGACATAATATTCGACTGGTAGGGCAGCGAAGATACTGGTGGGTATATGATGGCGGATCATTTGCTCGAGGAAGCTTGAGCGATAATCACTGCGATCTCTTTATCGCTTTCATGAAGCGGATGGATGGAATCACATCACTAGTACGCGGAAGTTTCAAAACACTGCAGTCAGGGCACTTAAGCTGATTCGTCACTTCGTACATTTTTGTATTTGCGGCTGCAGTAATCAGAAGGACTCTAATACTTACAGGCGTGTAGTTGTACTCTGTCTGATTTGGCGTATCCAAGCTCATCTATAACAATTGTGTTTTTGCCGAGATAAGTTGTTTCAAAAACTTTGTCTAATAATATTGCTAAGTGAGTAATTCGTCAGACCACAAATAACACCCTGAGTTACTTCATGCAGCAGTCAGCAAAGTGCATTCATTATCGGGGCATACAGTACGTCGTATTTTTCAAGGAACCGCATACCATTTTTCACTGCTTTTCTGTTTCGTGTCGCAACAAAAAGCGTACCATCTCTAACCTCGCACCGGTTTCTCTGGAAAGTGTGCTAAAATTTAAAAACAGAATTTTCCGATCTGCGTTTGGTATCCTTCAATCAGTGGGTGAATTTCCACAACAATTGCAGGTGGAGGCGATGACAATTGTACTCATTGAATGTATGGGAAAAGCTTTATTTTCCGTTGCTTCATACCAGTTTTCTGTCACATGTGTAACGTTGGAAGGGAACAGAACTATGAGTTATCTCAGTCTACGAGCCTCACATTTAAAATAAACACAATCCAGTATTAAGGGTCATTAATTTCGATTCATTACTTAAATGCCAATCAGGCACAGAGTACTCAGCTATAAGCAGCAACCCGTGCCTTCAGTCAAACTATCAATTATTGGTAAGGAGTGAGACACCAATCATGTGCTCCCATCAAGACTATTAAGCACAGTCACTGACGTAACAAGGGGGGGGGGAGAGAAGGGTTCAAACCTCTCAGAATTTTTCTTTAGTTGTGCATGTGTATATACCATACACACATGCATGAAAATGCATGCACGGACGTTCATAAAGTATGGTAACCTCCCCAATCCTCTCCAAAAATAACTGGCTACGCCGCAGCAAGCTTTCTATGGTTCAGGTGTGTTGTACTTAAAATGTTGGACTCTCGCAAATCGGCAGCACGTGTAGCGTAGTCATGAGTTATTCGCAATCTCAATAGGTTACGTTGATTCCGCTCTGGCCGTCAACGAAACCTGGGGAAGTCGTCATCTCCTAGAATGTCCATGTCATCCGAGAGAAGCCTTGGAAACAGAGACAGTCCGCCGAAGCGAGTCCAGGGACTGTCGGCGACGTTGGCGGGTCGCAAAGTGGCGTTGAATTCACCCTCCTCCATTATACTCGCCAAGCGCTGAGGCTTATTCGTGATTATGCCATCCACACCCCTCCTGAAACGAGAGTCAAAGTAAACCCGCTGTCAGACACCCGAAGAACTGATGTTGACGTCCATCAAAAGCTGTCGCAAAAGAAAACTTCACCGAGGAAAAAAAGTCATGTTTAATCATTTAACCTCAGGAATAAGTAAATGCAGCCTCACTTCTGAAGGAGGATAATCTAGATGGAAGGCGGAAGGAGAGGGGAAGCCCTGATGCTCTTTAGACGTATTTTGGAGAACATTATCGCCGTACATGGAGTACCATCCTTCCTGCACTCGTTACACTTCTACAAATACCTCCTTCTATGAAGACATCCCTCTGTTGTTGAGGACCGAAAGGTCCCGGGTTCGACTCCTTCTGGCAGAACCCTTTTCTTTTCTTTCTGATCACGCATAACATGACATCGTCATTCCTCTGACGGAAATACGTCACTGAAGTCTTGTTGGACCATGTCTTGAAACACTTTCGTGTTAAAATCTGCGGTTCAATAGCTGTTTATTGAGCCCATTTGTTACGACATTGACATAATTTGGTGAGTGAGTTTACCTGAGCGAACGGCGCATTTGCTTTGGCAAGTCCACCGTCCACTGGTAGGCCTTCTCGATGTAGCGGCCAACTTCTTCGGTGTCGCGGTCGTCGATGATGTCTCGTATCCTGGCGGGTGGTCGCAGGTAGGATAAGCAGTTCGAGATGCCATCTCCTTGCCAACGATGACCTTGTATTCCGAGGTCCACGTACAGGCTTCGTATATTGTCCAACTTGTCGTTGTTGCTGATGTCGAATCCTGTGCGAAAAAAAAAATGTTTGCCTATATCATGAATCGCCAACTCGTCTGGCAGTCCAGTAGTATAAGAACGGGTTACCATTACAAGTTTTTATTAGCCATGTACATGTGCGTGCCATAAATTGAAGCGTACAGTAGTAATCTTAAAAAGGCTCGCTGCGGACTGGCTTGTTTATACGTCTTTGTTTGGGCCCGATGTTACGCCGTATACTGGCCTATAGCCTTGCGGAAGGTCTTTCAATTTTCATCTGTAAACATAAAAACGCACGCATCAGCATACGTAAACTATGACTGAAACCCTTTTCCTCTGGAAAAGTGTTTCTGGCACAGCAACTCACACAAAGTATTAGAGAATTGAGTTGCAGCGCATTAAAACAGAATCACAGAAGGAGTGAGAGAGACGGATGTTCTAATGAAAAGTTGAGTGTAATGATGTAGCGTGTAACAAGGTATGGGACGTATCAGTCATCACAAGGAACCTGCACTGTTTTTAACATCTTGGACAACGAAGCACGTTGTCGCTGCTTCTATAGGTCACCGTATGTATTTAGATTTTGTTGTAAGGACAACCAGAATCCATCACTTTAAGTCACGGTGTGAACCATTGTACACGCCGACTTCTATGGCACGTCACGCACCACGTGTTTCTTCAAATGTTCCTAAATGTAGTGAGCACATTTGTGCGGGCTTCCTTAGTGGAGAACTATCAATATTTTAACTTCGTTTAACTGTGTATTGCTGCAGAGGATCAGTTTGCTGTGTACACTATATCATGTTCGATGATAGTACGGCGTGGCGCGTTTCAGGACCAACTTTTTTTCTTCACTCGAAACAAATACAACAAAAGAATTGTCGAAGGATAATGACACGGATGAATCATTGCTTATGCAAGTATGGAAGCTGACTGATTGCAGGAATATTAGATATTTACTTAAACTGAAGCTCACTCAAAACAGGGCATTCTGTCATTTTCTGTATTGTAATGTAACGCCGAGTGGTTTAATTATGTCACGAGAATTTGACACATATCTCCAGTTAACGCATTATAAATAGGGACTGAAAGGGCTATACACACTTTGAGCTTTCTCATATAGCAACAGCATTTGAGTTACCTGTAATACCGATCTCGTCGGTCCTCCTCCTTTAGCAGAATATTTGGCCATAGCTGAGGTCCTGCTTTGCAGTTCCTTCTTGTGTAAACAAGCATCATGTGCCTCAGCACACTGGCTTCGTAATTACCGTTGTTTATCGTACATACATTTTTTTCTACGAAAGCATATTGCTATGCACCATACAAGCACGTCGCGTAATGCAGCAAGATACAGTGATAAGTAAGACAATGATGGTCACCTATCTTGTCCAGCATTATGGGTGATAAGCGAGAGACTGTGTCGACTGCCCCACGCAGCACCTCTTTGTCGGAGACACTCGGAACTGACAGTAGGACATTCATGGCTTGCCATGTAGGTACTGTAAAAAAAAGTCACAAAGCAATGAACCGGCAAGTTTACAAGCTTTTCTGCCACCAGGACGTCAACGTCAAAGGGAGGAAAGGTGGCATGGGGAACGTACGTGCACGTTCGCTTCACCAGGACATCCCTTCAGTGACTTTTCAGCTACAGAAGGGGTGTTTCGCTTGTTACTGTCCTCGCATTTTCTCCCAGGGCTCCGGTCATCCACCGTCACTGAGCCGACAGTTTTAGCGTTATACGAAAGCACCTGGACACTTTGCGCAGCACATTTTCTAGGCTTTATTCTAATGTGAAGTCAATTCTGTAAGAACTGCTTCAGAAGTCTGTACAGAATATTGCTTACGTTCAGAGGTGGGCAAAACTTGTGGACCTTACTGAAATAACTCGTGAAATATATTTATAACTTTGGACTTCCTCGGACTCAGACTAACAAAAATTTATCTGTGACGTGCTTATTTGGACTCACGCTCACGAAACGTTTCCTCTGAACTCAGTCGGACTCAAACTCATGAGAACACTGCTCACTCGGACTCACTCAGACTCAGACTCGCGGCTCGGTCTAAGTCTCAGTGAGTCGACTCTTGATTCCGTTAGCCTAGAATTAGCTTATTCAACTATGGTGTCAGTGCTTTTTAACACTAATATCTCACGTGATCGATGGTCTTATTGGCGCCGTTTGACATTGAATCTTCGAAAACGACTTCTGAGTTCATGCAAACCAGTAAGGTGATTTTTTTTGGGATGATAGCATAAGATAAAATTATCAATAATTTCCCCGGAATAGTTGGTGAGGAGCGGGCGGGTCAAGACACCTCTCTACGTAATTCACACTTCTCATCAAATATAGAAATGGCGTATGAACGACATGGCATTGGAATGGCGGTGATTAGGCGTGAATATAAGCGTCAATCCAAATAAGTCTGATAGTAGTGCTAAAGATGACTAGATAAGACCTTAGTTGGGCAAAGGAAGTTAAGCTCAGTCAGAGACACTCACCAAATACATATTGCGCTTTGGACTCACTAGGACTCAAACTCTCCAAACTTTTCTTGAGCCGAACTCTCTCGAACCACGAAAATTTTCTTCAGCTAGACTCACTCGGACTCAGACTCACGACAATATTGCTCACCCGGACTGACTCAGACTCAGACTCGCAGTTAATCCTAGCGTCATTGAGTCTGAGTTAGTTGACTCACGAGTGAGTTCGCTGACCTATGCCTACATTGGTGGAGCATTATATGAAAGTGATTTAGTTAATATTTCCTCGTGATTATTCTAATGAATGGACAATGTTTTATTACGGCTTGCTGTGCCATTGCACACAGTGAAAAGCCGCCGCTAATTGAATGCTTTACAGCGCCCGATTAGACGAAAAAGAATCTTGCATGGCGAGAAAACATGGAAGTCCGACGAACACAACACGTGTTGCACACTAACTGAATGCCTTATTCTCTGTAACATAATGAAATAAATAGCGATCTTCATCACACACACGTTCAGTTCTTACACAACAAATGCCTTTCAGCATACGTATTGGACACACATAGACGTCAAGCTTTATGTTCTGAGGCAAGCATGAGTCTCAATAAAAAAAAAACATTTTACACCCGTAAGGAAATCACCACCTTGTTGCCTCACGTGATGGCTCTGTCCGTGGTATCTTGCCGGCGCCATGATATGCATATTTATTTTTAAACGGTTCGACTGTCCCTATGCAAATCATGCACACAAACGCGGTCGGAAATGCCCACAGCAGTAGTGAAAGTCCCATGTTATAAGTGATTTGTCGCCCGTGTTCAATGACTGTGTTGGAGCCGTACAGCGATATACTTTAATAGAGCACTAATCATCATCAGCCTCACTACGCCCACTGCAAGACAAATGCCTCTCCCATATTCTGCCCGTCCATTCGGTCCTGTGCTTTCTGCTGTCACTTTATACACAACTTTCTTTTCTAATCTAATCTGCCCACCTCACTTTCTGTCTCCCTTTCACCCACTTGTCTTCTCTTGGAATGCAGTCTGTGATCTGCGTGCGTGTGCTGCCTAATGTGCTGTGTTTATCTCTCTTCCCTCTCTCCTCTCTATCATCTCCCCCACCCTCCTCGCATGCACAGGGTAGCAAACCGCCTTCATATAGACTAAGTAACCTTCCTGCCGTTATTTTCCTCCTATTTTCCTTTCTTCCTTCAGTCTGCGATCTTTATTGACCAGCGCTCATCTTGCTATCGCGCTACGTGTCCTGCACATAATCATTTATTCCTGATTTCGACTATGATGTCTTCAACACACATTTGTTCCCAAATACACTCTGCTCTCTTTTGCTCTCTTACGGTTAAAGCTATCATTTTCCTTTCCATTGATCTCTGCGTCGTCCTCAACCAAAGTTGAACCCTATTTTTAGTCCTACAAGTTTCTGCTCCATCGGTAAGTACCGACAATATTCAGCTGTTATATACCTTCCTCTTGAGGGATCGTGGCAGTCTTCCAGTATTGAATTGATAATGCTTGCCGAATGTACTCCACCCCATTCTTTTTCTTCTAGTTACTTCAATCTCGTTGTTGGGCTCCACGGTTAATACCTGTCCTAGGTAGACGTACTCTTTTACAACTTAAAGTGCACTGCTACGTATCTCGAAGCGCAGTTCTTTTTCGATGTGGTTGTACATTACTTTCGTTTTCTGCACAATAACTTTAAGACCTACCTTTCTGGTCTCCTTGTGTAATTCAGTAATCGTGGATTGCGATTCGCCCCAGAGTTACTCAGCAATGCAATGTCTTTGGTTAAGTCCAGGTGAACTTAGATATGGAACTCATGAAGTTCACCTGCTAAGTGACGCCACACAGAAAGATAAAGAGTGTTCCACACTCGCCTTCATGGCTAGAGATGGCGCTGACTGCCGCTCCCACGTTTAATGCAGCCGTATACCTCATAAAGTGGGAAGTGGGATAGCCGCCGCGGTAACTCAGGTGGTAGAGCATCGGACGCGTCATTCGAAAGTCGCAGGTTCGGTTCCTGCCCACGGCAAGTTATCTTTTCATCCACTTCTCTTTCTTCACACTTATATTACAATAACTTCTATTGACATCCCCTACACTTTTCATGGCATGATTGTCTGTTAGATTCAATTGATAAGTGCGTTAAAAACGGAAAATTAACCAAAGGAGCCAAACAGGTATCTGTCGAAGATGTTCCCCTTTAAAAGGATTCGAAAGGTATGCTTAATTATCTATTGATACCTAGTACAGCTGAACTGTTGAAGCTCAACCTCATTGTCATCGAATATGCATTGCATTTGGTAGTTTTGGTCATCCATTCTTGATCACGCTACTATGATGCGAGACGGTTCATCATGCGAATGTTACTTGGTGATAGCACCGTTTATTTTCCTAAATGACTCAGCCCAGCGTAGGGTAGTTGAACGCGGTTTTATAGAAGCACGTCTCGCTGCGTTCCGAATTGTATACATACAATCATTCGTGATAGCATGTTCATGTATTCCGTCTGTGTTTACTGCATAATAAAATTTTAAGGCGTGAAAAACAATTATTGTTGCTTTGCACGTTCACAAAAAACAGTGTTCAAAATGGTACAACTGGTGAAAAAAAACATTTTCCTTTATAAAACTATGATCCTAATATTTTGTTTTTAATAAGCAGGTGAATTTTTACCTATGGTCACAATTCTGTACGATTGATTTCACCACCACAATATAATGAATAAAGTTGTAATGCATGCGTATGCGAATTACTGTTTGGTGACAAAAGTAATATTAGATATAGCAATCGGAATAGATAACGAAATTACTCCAATAATATTCTTCACGATACTGTTAAAGAGATTGGTGTAAATATATATGTAAATAAACAAAAAAAAATCAAAATAGGCATGGATTCTCCCACCTCTTTTCCAGAGGTCTCGCAGGAGCTTTCGCCCGATGTCGACACCTGCCCGGTATTTTTGCTTCTCTTCGATGTTGCTCACTTTGAGATCCAAGAACAGGAGGGCTAGTTTATCGCTGTATTTGGCGCCACCTGAAATGGAGGCACCAAACGTGACGAAACACAATCTGCTGCGCGCGCATTCTATAGAGTACACTCGACTTGTAGTTGATTTGACTTGGGCGACTGTAACACACACAGCATTACACTCGAGATTATACTGCATGCACTTCGTACGGAAAGCTGGTGTTTCGCACGCGTTCCGTGTTAGCAGCAGGAGGTGCTTCGTACATATAACGTCGATGACTGAGATGTAAGGGGTAAACGTTAAATTAGTAAAAAGAAAATGTGCACGTTAAATTAGTAAAATGGACGCGATGGTTCATGGAAATCTTTTTTTAGCTTTTCGCGCGAAAAAAAGAATTTTATGATTACGAGGAGTACCACTTTTCAAACACCAAAGCCTGGGCTTGAACCCCAGCACAGTAAAAAAAAAAATGTTTTAAGCCTTATTTTCTAATAGTGATGGTCGTGTTACGTAGCAAACAGACGGACAGCTTTCTCCTTGAGAAGCCACAGAAAAGCTTGCGCACCTGAAATAGTGTGAGAACCTTACCCAACTTCCTATAGACGATGCCTCGCATTCAAAGAGCGTGCTTGGAAAGAGGCCAGGTTCGTGCTTAGCTTAGCAACGTCATGCGTCGCGTTCGAAAGTGGTGTAAATCTGGGCTTAAGACTTCCGACCGTATCTGATCCGCATGTGAAATGGCAGAAAGAACGGATGGGTTGCTTTAGGGAAAAAAATGGAGGGTGTTTACGAGTGGCTGTTTGAAAGCTACAGCAACGCCGCGTAAACAAGCAGACTATCCAAACAAGCTTCACGTTTTGTGCCAAATCGTCTTCACCATGCCCGCTCAGGAACAGCTGCACCATTTCTGCATGCAAATATGTCGACACAGAAGCTGCTGATTGGATGAGTTACATATTTCCCTTTTTTTGTGTCTATCAATAAAAACGTCTTGTCCTCGCTGTGCACGAAGGCTCACACGAATTTCGTGGTATCGAATACCGGTCGCGGCGGCCTTACTTAACATAAGGCGAAGTGCTAATAGGCCGGAGCACTTAGATTTGGTGCACGTTAAAGAGTCCCAAGTGGTCGAAATTTCCGGAGCCCTCTATTACGGCGTCTCAAAAATTCATATCGTGGCTTACCAGAACAACTGACTGTGTCATCGGCTCTTTAACCTGCTTCACGCCACAGAGGTGGGCGATTAAAAGTGCATTCACGTATTTGGACAGTATCGATGAGCTTGACAAACCGTAGTGACACATTGCAAATTCGTGTAATGAGCCACTCTGTCAGCACACGTCCCCGCCCAGCAGACAAAAATCTCGGTCTAAATATTTATTTTTGTTCTTTCTATTTAACTTTTATAATTTTTCTTCTTCCTCTTTCTTTCTTTCAGTCCCCAATCTCCTTCTCGGCACCGCACACTTCCTCATTTGGGGCTGCCACGTCACTGTAATATGTGCAGAGATCATGGCAACCCAAGGACCAACGGCTACCGCCGTTGTGAGAATCCCTTATTCATGCCGATTTTATTTTACCATACAATGCAGCCCTCTTCTTTTGGACAAAATAAAGCGGGATGGGGAGGAGACACCAAAGCCATGGTTGTTTTGACACACCAAAACACCCATGACATTGGTGTTTTCGTTTGTCGCAACACCCTTATCGTATGGTGTTAGTTATAGACATGGGAAGCACCCTTAAGGGCGCCAATTGCTTTTGTAGTTTATGTATGCAGTTCGTGTGATCAACTAAGGGTGTCAGTGGAGTAACAGGGGCAGCGCAAGAGCGAATAGAAAGGGCGATATGAAGGCAGAACAGTGCATGCTTTGTCATCTTCGCTTCCTTAGTAATTGTTTGCGGCCCCTTTTACTTCAGTATGAATCCAAACCTACTCGCTCGCTTTTCTGTCATTCGGTAAGGCTCTAAGCTCTGTCAGCTCAGTGCGTGTCTTCTGAATCCAAGCTAGTTATCCTCTTTCACTCTGTGGAATGGCTCGCAATTGTTTCTACACATTCGCGGAATTGCGTTTTCTTCTTGCGCACCTAGAGGCCCTCGAAGCCTGCATACTTACGGCTGCTCGTGGTCTTGCGGACGTACTGCAGGAAGCGGGGCACATCCTCCTCGATATCGCACGCCCTGAAGCAGTCGCACGGCACGCCGTGGAAGAGCCTGGTGGCCGTGCCGTTATCAGCGAAGCTCACGTCCGCTTCCACCGAGTTCGCGCCGTCGGCCATGGCCTCGTCCAGCTTGGCTACGGAGTTCACCATGTGGGCGATGTTGTACACGGGCCTCCGGTCAATAGCCGCTGCCTTGGGATTTCAAAGTGACAAAGAATCAGGCCGACACAAGGATCGATGTAGAACGCACTATGACAACCACACAAGCCACGAGAAAATCCAAGACTTTAGGTCCTGGATGGGTTTTATTTCGACTAGAGGATTTCTTTCCTGCAATATCCGTATGGATCTTTTTGAGGCTTCGTGCTACAATGAGTTGGTTTTCGATTTTTTTTCTTTCATAAGCCTTATTCCACCCTTATATTCCACCTTGCGGGTTTCCGAATAACAGAGTTATAGTGCATTATCAAAATAAGGGAAAATGGCGAAACAAAGAATGGTCTTTCATTAAAAGTTGTCCGGACTAGGCAGGCTGCGCTCCTTAAGCATTGATTACGACGCAGATATAGCCCAAACAGCTACTAGCGGGTGTAATGTACCGGCCGCTTACTTACTGTCTATAAGCTAAAGACCGATTGCAGCTAAACACCAATTGCATCAAGTCCAGTACGATGGAGCGTATAGGCGAAGCGAGACTTTTTAGCAGGCCAGCGGCAATACACAGTAATCGGCTAAGTGTGATAAGATCCGCGCAGTAAGCCAGCTATCAGAATTACAACAAAGCATAAGGCCACAAAAAGGTGGATACTTGGGGTGATAACTGTAGCACCCGAAGTAGTGATGTGGGTATATATAGCCTACGTTTAGGCAAGGCCAAGCTTCGTCAACCCCTGGCGTGTAACATAATAACTCATGCAGACATCTTGACCGGTTACTCACATTTCGAAGGACAATCGTGAGTATCACGACCACCGCTGCACCTGGCGGCGCCTTTGTCCGCCGCTTTGAGCCCATCGTCCAGCAATGAACGTCCAGTAACTTCCGTGTTGTGTAGTATGCGACACTGGGTCAGCTCTCCTGCAACTGTAATCCCGGGAATTGAAGTAAAAAAAAAAACCGCACTCCACCAGTGTTCTACAGTGACCACAGCAAACATTCCTTGACGCACAATTAAACCGATGCACCCGGTTTTAAAACGTCCATGCGCATACACACTCCAGCTTAAGAGGCCTGCGAGTATCGATTTCCGTCACTTCGCGCCAGAGACAGCGAGTGGCTAACGAGGACTCGCAGACGCAACCGCCTCTTTATGCATCATGCTTCCAACTTCGTGGTTGTAAGAATACAACGCCGGCGGGCACGATTCAAGGGCGCGCGCAGCAGCGGCCGTAGTAGCATTCGAAAGTACCGACCTCGAAAAGGCGAGGAGAACACAATCCGTGCCGTGTCGGCGTCTTGTAACGACGAGAAGGGCTCCTTCCTCCAGGTCTTCTTTTATTGTTAGCTTATTTCTTCAACACATTGTTACGGCAAAAGTTATCTTGGGAGCTCGCGGAAATCCCATCGCGTGGCTCCACCGATTTCCTTCCTCTCAGCGGTAATGTTACTCTTTTTGTTTCGTATTTTTTTCTGCTTCTTCATACCCCCCCCCCTCCCGTCCACTGAAAAGTATGAGCAATAACAAAATGGGTTAGGAATCGGGAAAGGAATCATCGTGGGGCATAATAAGCGCGAGAACGGTGACGCATTTTCCTGAGGCACTGTGATGCGCGCTCCCGAGGACAAGAAAATGCAGCCGAATACGGCAGAACGGTGCCCGGTATGACGAAATATGAATATGTCCAGCTAGCAGGCTGCAGCCACATCACATAAGCAATCAGCTGGGCGATGCCAATAATTTACCTATGTGCAGGCACCGTCAGGTAGATCATAGAAAGCGGAAGGGGAGGCAGCATTTATTGCCTTCTTTTCTTTGACGTGGAAGCGCCACGAAATGAAGGGAACACATAATGTACACGCACAAAAAAAAAAAAATGAGGTGAAAGTAAACACTACTTGACCTGCGTATTAACTGCGGTATTTATCCAAATGAGATGGCATACTCGTTAGCCAAAGCATCTTTAAGCGGACCAATCTTACCTATTTTACCTGATTTTGCCTACGTAACAGCACTCAGATATAGAAAGGCTTGTTTGCACAAAGAAATAGAAAAATTAACATTGGATAAAGTCAGAGACTTCGTACATCTAAGATATTGCTGGAACAAACAATGGTGTGTGTCTCGGCAGTTAGAAACTACAATCACCAGATTACGATGCAGAATTCCGCATCTGAATTACTACCTACATAAAGCTGGACTAACAGCATCTCCGTTGTGTCTCTTTTGCAAGGAATTGGAATCAATAGATCATTTCTTTTTATCCTGTAAACGTTATGCTTATCAAAGGAAAAGATACCTGGTCGAGCTAATTGAGAAGCTAGGTTTAAAAATAAACGTGGAACTAATTTTATCCTTCGGAGGGATTACATTAGGTTATAGCCACAGGGAGGTTTTCTCTGCTGTGTGCGAGTACATAAGGGAAACAAAGAGATTACCCTGTTAGCCTATTGTTATTATTTACGGCTACGAGACTACCTGAATGCCTGACTGAACACACTTGATGATCCTGCCGCCCGGTTCTTGGCCGATCCCCCTTTGTGGGCGAGTGCCAGCAAAGCCGAAGGCTCATCATCATCATCATTAACTGGTGCCGAGAAATACGCTGGTCATTTGGAAAAGGTAACCTTACGTCAATTCTGGTGGATAGATCTAACCAAAAGGAAATCAATGACTTTTGTCACCTTTCGTGTTTTGTTCTATTCTAATTGTTTTGCTGTAGAAGGGTTGAGGTCTATATTGCCTCGGCTACCCCAAATCAATAAGTTCTGCAGCTAAAAAAAAAAGAATAATAATGAATGGTGCGCAAAAATGAACAATCGAAAAAAACAACATAATAGCACACTGAAACCAATTCAAATATCACGCCAATGCACAGCTTGCTTGCAACAGTTCACACTGTCAAACTGTTCACACGCACACCTCCCTTTCCTACTGTCAGTATATACACTAACACAGTACATAGATATCAATCCCTGGTGGTCTATCACACGTCCTTATCCAGTCCGGTCTCCACTAAGAAGTCTGCCAGGAAGATGTTTGCCTTTTTGAGGAGATGCATCTCAGGCCATGGTTCAAGTAATTTCGTAAATATGAGAGGCCGTCTGTCCAAACTTGCTAATTTGTTCCTTATTTTTTTCTCTTTCATTCGCGTATTTAACGCACTCGAAAAGAATATGGCGAACATTTTCTTCTGCATGACCACAATGATATTACGGGAAGTTGGATCGATGTATTTTGTGCAGGAAGCTCTTTGTGTATGCTACTTTTAAGCGAAGCGTGTTGAATAATGTCTCTAAGTGTTGTGGGAGATCTGTCGCTATAAAAAATTTTCTGTGTGGATGAATTTCATGAAGCACTGATTCCTTTGATTTAGAGCTACCGAACAACTTCTCCATCGAACAATGGTTAGCTCCTTGCGTTATAAAATGTGGAATATCCGTCCCAGACATCGGTATTGCACAATCCCGTCCTTCGTTCAATGCTTTTTTTGGTGAGGCTGTCAGCCCCTTCATTTCCCTTTGTTCCAATGTGACTGGGTATCCAGTGGAATACGGTGTTGCGACTCTGCGCTGAGGCATATTCCACAGTTTCTGCAAGTTCTTGCAACAATCCTTCGTTGCCCGATTGAACGAAGCGTAGATAAGCTTCCCGTCATTGAGGTGGAGGGTAAGAAGAACGGAGGGAGTAAAACATAGAGCTTTAAGGCAATGGATGGTTCAAGGCGATGAAAGAGGAAAAGTGAGCGTGTCGTCTACGTGTTTGTTCTGCCCATATAGGAGAACTTTTGCTCTCACCCATGTAGGACTGTATATATGTATATATGTTATAGTTTTTTCCCTCATAATTTTGTTTGTACCAATTAAATGGAAAGGGGTAGCCGTCGCCAAGTAACGGTGACAAAAACTCCTTCGTTTATTTTCAATTTCAATAAAAAAAGAGGAAGGCAGGGCGTAGCCAGTTGTGTCACATCGGGCCCCTGCCTCCCCCACCCCCCCTCTAAATTTTTTTCGCCGTGGCTATTTGAAAGAAATGCCCCTCCGCCTGCCTTCCCCAAAAGAAATTTCTGGCGGCGTGCATGGAGAAAGGTGAATGGGAAGTGAGAATGAGGAGGATAGGAGAATCTATAACATTGTAAAGCGAGGGGCATCAAAGCACGAAATGAGTTTGACGAATGAGGTGAGCGGAGGAAGAAGAGGAGGAAGTATTTTATTTCGCATTATATGCAGAGATAAAAAACACTTCTCGTACGTGTAGCCAAAGCTAGTTGGGCTAGTTTTAGCTCCGAAAGGAAATTGAAGGTCAGGGGGAGCAGGAAGGAGATAGATAGTGAAGCATAGTAAAGCGATGGAGTGACAAGGCAAGGAATGAGTGGGGTGAGGGGGAGAAATGAGGATGCGAACGAGAAAGAGAGGCGAGGCTGAGGGTGAGGAACAAGTGAGAAAGTAAAGCACAGTGAAACGAATTTGGTCTTTTGGGCTTTCCCTCATCCCGAAGGTCCGTTGGTGTTGGTGATAGTAAAACCACACCTAGCCTTCTTTTTCGCTTGCTCTCTCTCTCTTTTTTGAAGTTGCCTTACCAAGCACAAGTCCCCGTTGCAAGGGTCACAACACTAGGAGAGATGGGGGGGGGGGGGGGGGGGGAGGGGGCTCCTCTAGGTGCGGAGCTCACAACTGAAGCTGCACCTTCGGGCAGTGGGCTAAGCCAGAGGGGCGGCCGAATGAACACGAACACGAGATTAAGTAGGCACAGCATGGTAGGAATTTAGCTTTTATTTAATATAACTCTTGTTCTTCCTGCGAATAGCCCAAGTCTCTGAATGACAGTTTCTCGCTGACGTGGTGAGCGAGGTCGTGCGGTTTCCATGCTCATCCGATAGCTTGGAGCGTGTTGCAACTGGTGGATACCTTCACTTCCCTTCTTGCATGGTTACAGCAGTCTACCTATTGCATGCTTGAAAACACTAGCACAACACTACAGCCTCACCGTCAACAGTTCATTTCATTTAATTTTGTTCATTCTCAGTGTGCATAAAGGCGTTACAGAGAGGTGTGGGTTATACAAAACAAAAAAAAGAATAAATACAACATGGAAACACAACATAATATTGAAAATGCATGTTCAAAGGAACTAAGCTATGACAGGCTGACGACGTAATCGGTTAGTTCAGCTTTGAATGATGAAGCGTCCTCGGTACAGTCGATGGGCGGAGGAAGGTGGTTCGACTCAGCGCTCGTTTTTGGTAACTTTCTGAAAAAAAAAGCGTTATAGTGCGGCAAAAAGGAATGAGAACTGTATGCTCATGATCAAGGCGCGATGATACGTATGAAGGTACTCAAATGAGTTCATGTTTAGGTGAATACTTACGGTATATGGTCTTCTGAAAAGGACATAGACAAGAAATTTTTATTCGAAATTGAAAATTTTTTAGTTCAAAGTCCGATTTCCTTAGTTAAACGCCAGCTGCGCGGGAATAGTTTGAGTCATTTAAACGTGCTGAACGATCCTGAACTGATTCAGTGATAGTTGCATCTCTTTTGACCAGGGTCCCAAACAGAACAAGCGTACCCAAGCTTGGATCTAATTAATGTTTTGCAGAGTAGTAATTTTATATGACAATAAATTTTCAAAAAAGTTCTGCGTATGTACCCGAGAAATCTGTTAGCGTGGTTAGGGATGTTTCCAATGTGCGTATGCCAAAAAACGTTGTTGGTAGACTGAATTCGAAAATATTTATATGATTTTACGTACTCGAGGATGATGTTTTTGATGACCTAACCTAATGATGTGGATGAGTCAGCGGGACGCGAGAAATGCATTAATTCGCATTTAGTCAGATATAAGAACATTAGCCATTGTAAGCACCATGTTGATATGTTATCTAAGACATATTGATGAATAAAGTTATCATGCTGGTTAGTTATTTCGCGGTATAAGACACAGTAATCAGCAAATAGTTCAATAGAACTATTTACAACAGTAGGTAAGTCGTTAGTGTTAATTAGAAATAACAGTAGACTCCAAGACGGAGCCTTAAGGGACGCCCGACTTTGTGTCTCAACGCGGGGATGCAGCATCATTAGCAGTTACAAATTGAGTACGCCGTCAGTTAGCAAACATTATATTCAGTTCAACATGTTAGGGTCAATGTGAAGAATACCAAGTTTGAGAAGTAGTAAGCGATGAGACATCCTGTCAAAAGCTTTAGCGAAATCTGACAAAATACAGTCAATAACATGGCCTTTGTCTGGGATGACTTTGGATGTATGGGACTGCGCATATAAGATGCGTAAGCCAACGAGTGCGCTACTGTGATTCCGGCCACAGGACTGACCTCACCGTCTGTGATGTCAGGTGCGAAACTGCTGGTGCATAGACGGCTACGTTCCTTTTCGAGGGGCAAAGCTTCTTAGGGTCGAGCCATGTCCCCTGCCTGTTTGTGTGACACGCTAGTACTAGAAGCGACCAGCAGAGGGCGAGGTGGTGCCAGCGCTCGCTGTTGGCACGTGTTGCAATTCGAAAGGAGACCGCTAGGGGCGCGGCTCTCTCTCGTTCGGCAGCAGCGGTCATGGAGTGCGCAGCGCGGGTACGTGGCGACGCAGTCCAGAGTTTCGGGCTCGCAGAGCGGCTGCAGCACGGCAGCGCAGACGATCGTAGCCAGACTTGCGGGCTCGCGAAGCTGCAGCGAAACGGCAGAGCCGGCAAACCGACTCGGAGCTGAGGCCTCGCGAAGCTGAAGCGGCACGGAAACGTCGGCAAGCTGATCAAGAGGCGGCGAGGGCTCGTGCAGCTGCACTGAAATTGCAGCGCCGGAAATGTAGGGGGGGGGGGGGGTGTCACGCACTTCGGGTGAGGCCCCGCCGATCCAACACCGACTTGCGGCAGACTCGCAGGCTTCCACTTTACGCTTCGGCCTGCGACGCCCGAAAGCCCTCGAAGTGGCAAATTTCAAATTTATTAGCAGGTTGGTCGACCCGTGCGGGGTTGCACGTGTGGTGATGTGTGGGCCTGACCGACGCATTCATAGAGGAGGCACGGAGATTTGATTACACACAAACAAGCATTTAATTGAAACAAAGGGCAAAGGCAGGAGTTAACAAAAATAGCAGAGGAAGCATAACACTGATACGCGATGGGAAGAACAGCTATATAACAAAATATGCTAGAAGAAACACTACAAAAGGTACAGACAAAATACAAATACGTGGAATATTATTAAAAGAACAGCATGATGGAAATCAAAGGAGAGGGATACAAGGAAATAATTACAGAATTATCATGGTAGCGCTTTTGAATTTCTAAGTGCGACGCAGCGCACGCAACTACGTATATTAAAAAAAAGGCTGGTTAAAATAAATTAAGAGTAAAAAAAAAGGGTCACAATAAAAAGTTCCCTACGCAGGCCAGCTCTTGGTGCACGTAGGCGAGTAGACGGGTGCCGCTGAAGGTCTCGCCGACCTGGTAGACGACGAGGGTGCCCGGAATTGCAGCCGTCTCAATACGTTGCGCGAATCACTCCATGCTCGTCGCCTACGCGAGAATCGCGACACCGACGACTGCACTTGTTGCTGGATGTACGTCAACTGCCTATTCCGATGCAGTTGAAACCTCTTCAGGGGCGTACACGTGCTCCCGTCTCATCTGGGGGTAATTTTCCTTTTTTAGACCGCCGGTTCCCCTTTCGGTACAGGTGAAGGGGAGACGAGCCGGCGCCACGCTGGGTCGTTAGTCTCCGGATGTCGTCCTCCCAACACAAAAGCGCCCTTCTTTGAAAGATGGGGCCCGCGGATGATCCGAAAATTGGAGTCGTTTGTGACAGGGGGATTCACGGTTAATGATCCACCGGAGCTTCGCCCACTCGTCATCACTCATTTTGTGCATATGCTGGGATTTTTCCCCCTTCTCTACAACTTCCCTTCTCTCTTACCCGTTCCCAAGTGCAGGGTGACCTGCTGGTCTCAACCATGGTTAACCCAGCTCCCTGTGTTTCTTTTATAATCTCTCTCTCTCTCTCTCTCTCTCTCATCAGTGCGCTCACTGTACACGCATCAGACAACAGCGTTCACCACTGTTATCATCAGAATCATCATTTCGTGTGCCTTTACAAAGCACTGAGCAAGACAAGCCTTCAATGTAAAGAGAAGTTATCGAGTTCAACCACTTGACTTTTCTGATGACGGCATTGCTTTATTGGCAACGTTGAGCGTGCAAATAACAAGAAAATAGGCTCGGAAGCAAGGTTGATGCACTGGTCGTGAAAACGTCACGTCTCCTCAAAGTTGCTTTATATAATATGTAGCCAATGTTTCTGAATCTCCGTAAGCCGTCTACATTATTCACCCCAACAAGTGCATTTTACTCTGTCAAAAGCAGCTTGGTCTATAAGGGGTTTTGCAGCAGTCTTTTTCTCACAAACTTTCCTGTTTTTGTCGCGTTAGCAACAATTTTGTTTGTACAATGTTAACGTAAAGCCCCATAAGCGCTGAAATCTCGACTCTCTTTACATTGCTATGACAACCTTATAACAGATCTGTCGCATTTTGTTTGCAATTTCAGTCTCTCTTCGCAGCATTTCTTTTTAACATCTTTTATTCCCCTTACCTCATTCCCCAGCACAGGGAAGCCAGCCTGTTTTAGAACTGGCTAACCTCCCTGTCTTTCCGTTTAAACTTTCTTCTTCCTACTATTAAAACAGATCTTGCAACGCTTCGGTGGTAATTTGGTGTGAACAGTATTGTGAACAAAATGTCCAAAGAAGGCAGCAGCTCAATTACATAAGCGTAGGTAAAGTTTGAAATACTATTGAAGTCTCTCACTGGGTTCGCTGTCACAATCGTTCACAAGTAGTTGTTTGTCATCGCCATGGTCTCGCGCGCTTCTTATGTAGAGATACATGGACGTGAAAATTAGAGCACACAACATGGACGTCGAAAGACACATGTAGAGGAAGACGTTGGGGTCGCTGTCCAGAAACTGGCCAACAACAACCGGTGCCGTCATTGACCCGATGCCATCGGTGACAGCGACTAAACCCATCATCTTGTTGCTTAGGTTGATGTTCCCGGACGTCCACGATATTATGGCGGCATAGACCGGCCCCTGCCCCACGCCCAGGAGAGCCGTGCAGATCCACAGCACCGTGGAGCTGCTGGATCCCAGCACCGCGAGCGTCACGACTGTCGGTATAAGAATGACTTGCACCGAGACTAATACCCAGAAGATAGGAAGCTTGATTGTAACCAGGCTGGCGGTGAGGCGGCTGGCGGCAAAGGACAAGTAGTAGGTGGATTCGAGGCGGGCAGCCAACGCCTTGGAGAAGTGGAGCCGACTCTTGACTGCGTACGTGGCCACCATCTGTGACGTGGTACCCTCGAAAGCGACTTCCATGCCTATGTAGAGGCACATCATTGCCAGAACGATTCGAGTAAAGCGGACAGTGCTACGTGGTCCCTCGGCTCCGGCAGAGATCTCATCTTCGGCCACTGCGGGTTTGAAGTCCACACGGTCCACGATGTAAAATACGATCATAGAAATGGTCAGAATGACATAAAACGCGCCCACGGTGCCGTATGCCCAGTATACGTGTGATTCGCTTGTGGCATTTCGAGCAGTGGAGTTGTCGGCAAGAGGCATTAGGTTGACTGGCCTATGAAAGATGTTCTCGGTGAAGTGTATTTGGTCGGGGTTGTTCGGGGCTGTAGCGTTGGCGCTGTTGTTGGACAGGAACGGTCGCGCGATGAACGGACCCAGGAGGCCACCGATGCCGAAGGCCAAGTGGAATACTTGCAGCGCCGGGCTGCTGTTCTCCGTCCACATCCTGATGATCCAGATGTTTGCGCCTGCACGGAAATACCAGACCAGTTTCGTCTCCGGGCATGCACCTTCTGTGCCGCGCGTATAATTATTTGTACATCTTCAACGGGAACACGGCCATCCTTATCCGGCTATATCACCCTCCTTCACAAGAATCAGAGCAATTTGGACACTTGAAATTGCGGCCGTAGGTGTAAGCAACGGATTTCTGGGGTATTATCACACGCTGAAAACATATATGATTATTTGACTTGCCGTTGTTGAAGGCTCCTGAAGTTTTGTCCATCTGGTGTTTTCAACACGCAACGACATTGCGTAGATCGGCAAAAAAAAGTGCATTTGCACTCATACTTTAACCCAGGTTTATTAAGATTCGATTTTACCTAAATTTTTCTACAGCGCACTCACGCGTACTCTGTCACCCAGAACTTACTGTGCCGGGCTTACTGATCGTCGTTGCTGCCCGTGGTAACTGAAGTATCGCACTCCTGGACGCGTACATAAAGGGGAAATTGCTGGCACAAACGGAAATAATTAGGAGGAGCGTTGTGCATTGCAATACGAGAGGAAGAAAAAGAAAAAGAAACACGGAGAAAATGAAAAGAAAGAACGGAAAAAAGTAAAGATTAAAGAATGAACGAAAAGAAGAAATGAACAAAAAAGTAGAAAGAAAGACAAAACAAAGTAAAGAACGAAAGCAAAAGAAATGAGGAAGAAAAAAGGAAAGAAAGAAGTAATGAAAGGAACAACAAAACAAATGAAGAAACGAAAGTAAGAATTCACAAAACAAGGTAAACGGTGAATGACGGCGACGCAAACGTCGCCACCGAGGTTGACGCCAGCGGCAGTATCCAGCTGAGAGTGTCCATATAATTGCTATCACAATTAAAGAAAGAACGAAAGAAAGGAAAAAAAGCAATTAAGTAAAGAAAGGAAGGATGAAGGAAAGAACGACAGAAAGAAGTACGTCAGACAAGCCGATGCAACGCTTCGCTGGCGCCCTTTTTCCCGATAAGGCGGTATCCTTATTCTTTCGTCAAAAATTTTTACGCGATACATGCAAGCTTCCCGTTCCCCGTCTACCTGAAGTCCCTGTACTCCGTAAGGTATAGGGGCTTTACGTGTCTTTACCACACCGCCAAAACTCACCGGTCAGAAAAGCAGCCACGCTGACTCCGCACAGAAACATGGTGACGTGCGCCAGGGGCAGGATGCCGCTGAGCGGTATCATGGTCACCGTCACGCTGGTTAGTGACAGTGCGAAGATTGACACCAACTGCGTGTTGTACGTGTCGTGTAGCTTACCTCCTGCAGATGTTGAAATAAATAAAGTCATGTTGGAAATCTGGCAAGGTTGCGTATAGCATGTAAAGCGAATATAAAGGGGCTCTCGATGGAACTTGAAAAATGAGAGTGCGTAATACTTTTCAAAACGTTAGTGCTCCCGAGTACTCTGCGCGCAAGAACGATAGCTGCTCGGGACGTCAGACAGTATTTGATGTATTGAGCTGAAGAATTGGCGAAAACGACGCCTTTCATTCACACGATACTTAACGTTGAAGTCTCAAGAAGCCTTTCGAATGTTGATTATTTCTAACACACAGCGCTGAAGTAACGGGAATGAAAAGAAGGTATAATTATCATTTAGAAAACTTCTTTCTCGCCCTGCTTTTTTAAAGCGCTAGCTGATCTGTGTTATGTTGAACCACCGAAACTTTGTCGGGCTTACTATTTTTAACTATTGAAGATGTACTGACACAATTTAGAGGCGTCGCTAAAAGGACATTTCTCGTTTCATTATTATGCAGTTTTAACGGACTTCGTATACACGGGAGCCAGAAAACACGTATAAAATATTTTACTTTGATTTTAAAGTTTTCTTCGCCCGGCGTCGGCAAGCCAGCCCTACACTATGAGCATCATCATGACGAGTCAACAGAGTTTTCTGGGTGATGCGTGCTGTGTACAGCCCACATCGCAGAAATTTTTGTAATTACAATCACTAGACGGCAATCCGCTCGCATGCACGACATATGACTGACAGCTGATGGCAGAGATGCCGCTCAGTATGTCGCACGTTGATGTCTCCACGTGATGTCAGGCTGTGTTTACACGTCACTGATAAACCACCCTCTGATAATATAACAGGAAGTACTATAAACCGCGCAGCTTCAAAAAAAAAAAAGGGGGGGGGGGTTAGGTACGGAACAGGGACACGAGAAGAGGGCGACAACACAGGCGCACTGTCATCACAGGCATAGAGTTTCCTAAAATTAACTAAAGGAGACTCTGGCGCTGTGATCGTTCAACCACCATGGGAGTGATGGTTAGTACACGGGTCTACCTAGTCTTCCTGGCTGCGGGCTTCACGAACGCACTTGTGACTTTGTTTATTGTTGTATTTTGCTTTTGTTTTGAATAAAACAACGGACCGTTGTGAACTTCGTGAGCCGATTTGAATTGGGGAGCCTAAATGGTGTAGGCGGTGAAGTGCGACTGCTGAACATTTGCCGATTGTCGTTTCGCGCATACCATCCTATAAAAATATATAGGATGTTGTGTTTCGTGACAAAGCAGTTCCAAGCCTCGCGAAGCCAAGTGGAGCCGAAAGTACGAAATCTTGACAAATTTGTGTACTATATCCATCACTCTCATGCTGGCTAAAGTGCCGTGCGTTGCAGGTGCCATAGACACTAGCGCCATTGTTCCCTTTGTTGTATTTATTGGAATATTCGGGATCGTATATCCGCCCTGGTATGAACTGGTGAGCGAAGCTCCTTAGAAGTTGGACCGAAACGACCATGCGCGTGATCTCGGTGCTGGCTTTTACGAAGGCGGTACGGTGGGCAGCGGGTAGAGAGCCATAGAGTTTCTCAGAATTAACTAGAGGGCACTCTGGCGCTGCGATCGTTCAGCGACCATGGGAATGATGGGTAGTACACACATTTGCCTAGTTTTCGTACTTGCGGGCGGCGAATCGTACTTGCGGCTTCGTTCATTACTGGCTACGGTTTTGTTTTGAAAGAAAGAACGAACCCTTTCGAACTTACGGACTTGATTCGAAATAGTAAGTTTTAAAAAATAAGGTTGTAAAGCACAAACGGTGAACATTTGCTAATTTATGCTTTCGTGAAAAAACAGCTCCAAGCCACACGAACACACACGGAGCCAGAAGCAGGCCAGAAGTACGAAAATTAAACAAATGTGTGTACTACCTATCATTCCCATGCTCGTTGAAGTGCCGTGCGTTGCAGCTCCCATAGACACTAGCGCCAGAGTTCCCTCTAGTTAGTATTGTGGGAAACTCTATGGAGAGAGCGTCTGCTTTACTCGGTTACTGCAGCTCGGTGGCGGGAACGACTGAACGAGTGACTACGAGCGCGCAGCGCAAGTTGTGTCCCGTTTCTGCGCTGTTTCCACGCAGTGTCACGTACTAGCTGACCCTTCAAACCACCCTTATGAAATTATAAATAATGGAACTTCGAATGTACTGGCTCAACTGTTCTCCTGCGTGCGGCCCCGCCGTAACGCTGTTCGTATATCGATAGAGAACGCCATCGTGCCGCAAAACTGGGACATGCTGGGCGACGTCGAACTGAAGAGACAGCTGCCAAGCGTCGCTGGCCTTGGTGTGCCACTCGGTGAACGCAATACAGGGTATATCGCCGCCAATCCGTGTTTAGCCTTCCTGTGGTCGAGAAATTTCAGTGCAGCAGAATATGAATGAGCGCCGCTTCACCAGACAAGCGGTCTCGTCGAAAGTTTGAGAACTCGGAATATGGGCGCGCCTGACGTGTTTGCGCAATACATATATGGATTCCTACTCAAACCTAGTGATTCGAACCAAGGGGGGAGATAAACAACAAGAGGGAAGGCAGGGAGGTTAACCAGGCACATGCCCGGTTTGCTACCCTACGCTGGGGGAATAGGAAGGGGGCATAAAGATGAGAGGGAGAGAGGAAAGAGAAGAGAAAGAGAGAGAGAGAAAAAACGAGGATTGGTAGAGTGTCCGCCTCGGCTGCGGGAGGTGGTGGGTTCGAACCCCGCTGCCGCCGGTCACCCACTGGTTTCCGCAAAATGGGCACAAGCGCTCACCGGCCTGACACTCTGGCCTTCTAAACGCTTGGGAAAAGAGCCTGCGCCTAAAAGCCCGTCAAAAATCTCGTGAGTGGCTTAACGTGAAACCTCCTCTGGGGGAGACGCGTGGCGTGGTTCAATGTCTGTCTGCCATGGACAAGTCCGTGCAGATTACTCTTGGCCGCTGTTGTATACAAATCAACTTGGCCGATAAACGTGAATGGTAGGTGCTGGAATTCAAACCAAAACTTTTCAAAAGCCTTCGGACAACTCGAGAATCGGCCTGCTTCACTGTCTTTTAGCCAGCTTGCGTAATTTTGAGCAAGCTTTGCCTTTTTTTTTTTTAGTGGAGTGGTAGTAAAAATACACGCACTGCATTCTCATGTGCCAGAATACTCTGTATACGGTTCTCGGCAACAGTGTACATTCAAGAGCAACAACATGAAAATTCTCAAAATCATGTGAGTACTCCATTGGCATGGCTATTAACCGATATTTTTCTTGCGCGTAGTTTCTGATAACAGTACCGCAGGGCTTGATGCCTTTAAAAAATTGAATTGCGAATGCCGCTTATACTATAAGACTTGTCAACATGCGTGTACTTCAACTAAGTCACAAGCAAGCGCAAGTTTTAAACAAATTCGTGAACCATTGTCGAAGGCACAAGCATACCAAGAAGGGAGCCGATGAGACCGCCGACGCCCAGACTGGTGAGGAGGTACGATAGGCTGGCGATGCTTGTCGAATAGATCTCAGCCAGGTCCAGCAAAGCGACGCCTGTGATGCCGCTGGCGAGGCCCTTTGTGAGAAACGAAAACGAATTCGTTCGTAAGGTCAGACTGTGTGGTTCACCAGTGGTTGCTAGGATAGTCTGTTTGTACTTGGTGCGGTGTTAAAGAAATGTGGAAATACATATAAAGTCACCCATTGCACCTTATCTTTACTACGATGTTATAAAGAGATGACAGGCACGAAATGCTCATTCGTCTTCAAAACTCCCCTCAGCCACTCTCCCTTCATATGGTGGTTTTGAGACGTTGAACACCCCCCCCCCCCTCCCCTTGTAAATCAGCCACTCCTCGTGTTTGGGGAGTGAACACACACAGCGGTAAACAGAAGCTGATGGGAACTGGCAGCTCAGCCAAACCTTGCAGTCATGCGCGGTTTGCGACCGGAGCGCCAAGTTGCGACTCTCCCAGGCATCCTCTCTTCATACAATGGCCCGTACACTTTGTTCGGAGATCTCTGATGCAGCCGATTTTTCGTCATGCAGAAGAAGGCTGCTTTGGACCGATGGCTGACATAACTTCATATTTACTAAGTACTTGCAGCCCCAAGAAACTAGGACAACGAAGGCACAAAAGACAGACTTGCGCTGACTTCCTAATTACCTTTATTCAAAAAGCACAAACTGTCATACCACTTTTAAAAGGCGTGCAAAAACAAAAAAAAAAGAAAGAGGGGTAGTAGACATCGTTACATTATAAAATCAGGCTTAAACTGCCTACTAAGGGCTCCAAGTTTATACATAAATGACAAATAAATGCAGTCATGACCATCTGCTGATTGCGTCTTCAAGTGGGGGATAACCTGACCGCTTGAAAACTGTATGAAACTGGCTTCGCAGCTTTTGATGAACATCAGTTGGAAGTCGTCGCAAGTCTGTCCTGTTTGTATATTCTTTGTCCTCGTTTCCTAGCGCTACAAGTACTCTGTATAAATCAAACCATCGACCGACTAGCCTATCAACTTATTGTTCTGACACTGACGTTACTGTAGAAATGTGGCGTAAGGATCAGATACGTCTTTTTCCTCGAAGGATGCTGCCCCAATCCCGACGCTGTACTCTCTGGTGCGCTAACATTACACAGTGGCAACACTATAGCGTGTATCTGAAATCACAGTGGGAGGGAGTGATTGAGTTTCATAACGCGACTCAAGATCATAACGCACACGTTCAAGTAGTTTCTTCGCCCCTTGTAATTCCCACTTGTGCAACTTTGAGCATAATGAACGGGAGAATAATGAAATCGCTAACGTGTGACTAATAACTTTACCTCCGCCTGTTATTGGCGCAGTTGAAATAAATTTCGCGCCACTCCGTTCGGGAGGTAATAGACTCTGATACAGTAATAAATTCATGAATATTTGAGAGTTGTTCAAAACTAATTTAGGTATGTAGAATTATAATTAATAATTACATTTGCAATTATAAAAATACGAAAGCTCGTATTTTATTCGTTATCCTCTTGAACGCTGCTTCAGGACATGCTTTAACATTGCCGAACCTTTCTGCATAACATATGACATGTTTTCTTACGGTTATCCTAAACTGTTATGAAAAAACATATTTACTGTGTTTACAAATACATCAAATTTCCGTAGCAACAAACACGACGAGCAAGCGCCTTAAACATTTCACGCTAGGGCCAAACTTATCGAAGGTTTTTTGTTATCAATTCTTTAAAAGACAGAATACTATAAAAAAATTGGCCTGCACATAGCGGCCGCAGTAAGCGCCCCAGTATTATTGAAACATAAAATTGGACTACTTCGTTAAGCTTCTTCTAAGAAAAAAGCTTAGCTCGAACAACACAAGAGCGAAACCAGACCAGTGGGACTAGCGTCGTAGCGACCGATGCTATGCGAAACTTTTTTTTCCCGCTACAGGAACACACCTCCTACCATTCCTAGGTTTCCGAGGCTCAAGTTGCACGTCCGTCCCAGGTTCAGCCACAGCTTCTTGCGGGGAGACATGTTGAAGCCGTCTTGACTGGCGCGACTGACGCTGTCGACGAGGAGCCAACTTTCCCAGCGCAGAACACACGCCTTTCGAGGAAGCCAACCCGTCCTCCGTTATTGAGCCAGGATACTGTATATCACGCCTCTCTCGGGAGAATGGGAAGATAAGAACATTATTGTCTCGGTTGTCGTGTCAGGAGATGCGAGAATGCTGAGTGAGCAAGTCGTATAGCAGCTCTTTTGGCTATGTGCGAAATTCAATGCGCTTGACGGTCACATCATCGAATGCTACGTAAACATCTTATCTTGTCAGCAGAGATGAGCTTCCGATATGAATAATAGGAGAGATAACAAAGCACCCGAACGCACCGGCGTACGCTATGGGCGCCCGATTACGATTCCTCCTATCACGAACGTGAAATAAAACGCGAAGCGTCGTGTCTTTAACCCGCGCTCGGTTCTGCTTTTGCTTGCACGCAGAGGCACGAGATAAGAATCAGGAAAAAACATAGAAGGGAAATTGACTACAACTATAGAGCTCATGTTTTCGACAACTGTTTGTACGTGGCGGCAGCAACAGGTATTTCACCAGTAACAGTTACGTATTACCCCCGTATCCTAGAACGTCCCTTCACTCAACGCCTCACCTTCACTTGAGAAGGCCAATAGGAGCGCAATCTGCAGGCACGGCAAGTCACTGCATATCAGCAATAATATGCTGCGATTCTTCAGTAGTGCAGCCTCATTCTCAGCCGAGCAGCGGCGCATTGCTAAACTCTGTCAAGTGAAGGATGAAAGTCGAGTCGAGTAGCGTTTGTGAATACGAGGGTTAGAATATGGTGGTGGAACCGTATTTATTTATTTATTTATTTATTTATTTATTTATTTATTTATTTACAGAATACTGCTGGCCCGACTGGGGCCCTAGCAGGAGGGGCAAATGTGTATTGGAAAAGGCAATACATCGGCACATTTACATACAGTGCATTGAAAACAAAAGAAAGGCAGTGCCTAATTAGTACAGCAAAGATCGAAAGTAATAACACTTGGAATATCTCAAATAGTGTAAGGTAAAGCAAAGAATAAAAAAGCAACATTAATGAAAAAAAGGAACATAACTAAAACAGCCTAACATCAATCCTGAAGACTTTCAATCATTATTTCAAAACTTATTGAAGTTTTAGACTTTCAAAATTTATTTTAAGCACAGCAAATGACACGTGTAGACCACTGAAGCCTACAGAATGATGTGTTGCCACGCGGTTCTACCGCCACACTTGTAAAACAACAGTTGCCGAGTCATTAATCCGCGTGCGGTTAAAGTGCACGAGCTTCAGATTCGATATCAGCCCTCCTCTCCCCCCCCCCCCACTCTCCCGCTCACACAAAGAGAAGAGCGGGCGCGCAGGTCGACGAAGATAGCAAAAACGTTGTCCTCATCAGTGCGAGCAACGTTTCCCACGTACAGTTAAAATGAACATAGTGCGATATTTCCTTGTTACCATGGTGTGGTGCTAAGCGTCATGAAGCCTTCACAATGAATACCCGCAGTTCGCGTCGTTTCTGGCACTTGCTAGGACATTTTGGAATTGTCTGCTACATCGTATGACATCCTCGTTTGTCGGCTCGACCTAGCTGCGCTATCTTCTGACGCTATTTGGTACATTTCATCGGGACGTGTGTCAAAAAAGGAGATATACTATAGGCAAGTGCGTCACTCTAGTATCCGACTAAATAGATGAATAAAATTAGAAACAGAATACGAAACCATGAAAGTTTGCCTCACTGGAACAGAGGTCGCGGTGCTAGGTTGCAGACCGGGGGTCGCGAATTCGATATCCGCCTCGGCGGCCTCATTTCGGTAGAAGCGCGCGGAATGGTAGGGGCCCATGTAGTGAACGACGTAAGCGCACGCTGAAGAACGCCAGGTGGTCGAAATTTCCTGTGCCCCTCACATTGGCCTGCCTCAGAATCGCACTGTGCCTTTGGGACGTAGAACCTCAGATATGATTAATATTATTAAGGCAACAAGGTAGCTGGATCTATTCATGCTTTTCATAATTTTAATGTAGAGTTCGTAAACAAAGGCGTGAATTACAATAGAAGTTTTGTGTGTATACAATAGAAGTACTAAAATATTAAAAAAAAGAGATGGTAGATGAGGCTGGGCTGTGGCGTCTGTTTTACGATGCCTGTACTGTCTGTAAGGGACACAAAAAGCGACTGGATATTGAACTTCGCCGGAAAAATCTGCTGAGCGTAAACCTAACCCTCGACACATTACCCCAGGCAAATAACACCATGTTATCGGTTGCACGTAGAAAGGGATGACTCTCACGTATGGATTAATTGAAGAACACCACCTATGGCAGCTGACGTATTAAGCCAGTGACGAGAGAGTAAGTTTACAAGTTTAGCAATACTACCAGCAAGAGTCAAGAAACTTTCGTGGCATCATCCAGACTACTTCGGCTTTCTCCAAACGAGGATGCACCATTTCTTCACGCGTGCCTGCAGCTGTTCTGTTGAGGACAGATTATCAGGATCTACAGCGCTAATGATAAATTTTGCCTCAGAAAATTTTAAATGCGTCTAAAGAAGTTTTCAGCGTTCGGACACACTGAAACATGCACCAGCGGTGCCGGTTAGATTGGGAATTCAACGTGAATGAATATGAGTACGCAGGTGAGCAATAAGCGGAAGGGGATTTATTAAAATGCTCTTGTTGCTATCGTATGCATCGAGGGCATTATTGTTCCAAGTGGCTAGGTAGAAAAGAAAAACATATTTCCACTGCTGCCGCTATCGGCAATGCTGCATGGCAACTGTTCGTTATCATCGACTGGACGTGCAGATAATACTTGCACTCTGTAAACACCAAATACTGGCTCAAAATTGTAATGAGAGCCCCTTAATTTGATATTTTCACCTGCACGAGCACTTCTCTGCGTGGCCCTTTTCAAACGCGAAATCATGTTCGTTCACTACTTTTTTTCTCTCACTCTCTTCCTCTAAATACCTCTACCCTTGACCCCCAGCAAATGATCGGGAAGCATTTTTGTATAGCTTATCACCCTTATTCAGGCCTCGCATGAAATGCTAGAAATAGCCAGTAAACCAGAAATACTTTGTTTAGTTGCCTGGATATACCCAGGATTCAGCATGACCTGATTAGAGTGCATTTATGCCTTTTCCTTTTCACTTCTTCCTCCTCTCTTGTTATTATAGTTACTCCAAATTATAGTTACTCCAAACATTGGTCTATACGTGACATGCAGTTAACAATAGATCCAGAAGTCTCATTTTTCTATAGAATATAACTGTTGTGGAGAGGAAGAAGATTATGTGCCGCAGTGGGTCACGCCTTTAGCGAGAGGAGCCGAGCGCGAGCTGTTCCCCCGAGCGTTGTGTTTTTCCTGCGTCGGTTGCTGCCGCCCGCTTTCCGCATCAATAGATCTGCTGTGCAAGTACTACTTACGCCAATAAACCCCGTTTCAGAGTGGTGGAGGTGCTGGGTAACTCAACCTGGAACTCCGCAACAGGAAACTACCTGCCATCCCAGACACAGCTGAAGAAAACACCCAGCAAGGTACGACCCAGCCTCCGATGGTCATCGTGCCCACTGCGCTACGCGTGCTCGATCCACCTTTTTTCGACGGTACTGATGAGCAAGACGTAGAAGATTGGCTGTCGACATTTGAAAAGGTAGGCGCGAGCAACAAGTGGGACGACCCTTCGAAGCTTCAATATGTACCCTTATACCTGAAAGAAGTAGCGAGTCTCTGGTTTAACAACCACCACTCGGACTTCACCACTTGGGGTGCCTTTAAGCTACGCATTGCCGATGTGTTCGGTCGCCCCGAGGTACGCAAGCTCCGTGCCGAACAGCGCCTACGGGGACGCGCACAGTTTCAGGGAGAAGGCTTCACAAGCTACATCGAGGATGTGCTCGACTTGTGCAAGCACCTTGACCCTTCAATGATCGAGGCAGACAAGATCAAACACATTTTGAAGGGGATAGACGACGACGCCTTCCAGATGCTGCTGGTCAAGGGTCCACGTACCGTGTCCGAACTCGCCACTCTTTGCCAGAGCTTCGAGGAGTTGCGCAAACAACGGGTCATGACACGGCGGCCAGCGGCTACCGATGAAACTCTCGCGGCATTGAGCCTGGGTGGAGACCACAGCACAATCATGTCGGAAATCAAACGATATGTGCGCGAGGAGGTGGCCCGACAACGTTCGTGCCTGTCGTATCTACCGGCAACGGAATCCTCTTCTAGGCGTCTCGCGACCACCATCAGGCAGGTAATACAGGCGCAGGTCTCTGAGGCACTGCCGTCCGTCTCTCAGACAGTACCCGTCACCGCGCCGTTGACTTACGCTGCTGTTGCTGCTACTCCGCCACAACCTCCACATGGGCCGACTCCCCAGCCTGCACGAGTATCAACGACGCCATTTCCAGCAACACAACAGCGCTATAACGGAAACCCTTGGCGCACAGTTGACAATCGCCCGATCTGTTACGCATGCGGATATCCAGGTCACGTGGCGCGCTTCTGTCGCCGGCGCTTGGCAACAAGCCCGGCTGCAGCTCCGAGGTACCCTGACTACTCTTTACCGGCCCCGTACAACGCGCAACGAGAACTGCCATGTCAATGCGACCGACAATCTGTGGAACGGGACCCGTCACCAACCGAACTAGACCACCGCCCTGCTGCCGACTACCGACCATTTGGTCCACGTCGCTCGTCCTCACCACGCCGCTACCGTTCTCCGTCCCCTCTGTGTCACCGACCGAACCCTGTAGAGACGGAAAACTGACTGCTGCAGCTCCGGAGGCACGAGCTGCGAAATCGTCGCATTGTACAAGTCCTCGCCCGTCCCCCACAAACGTTCTGGAAGTGTTTGTTGAAGGTCTACGAACTATTGCGCTTGTTGATACGGGTGCCGCCATATCTGTGATGAATCAGAAACTCTGCCGTTTGATACGAAAAGTAACGACACCGCCTTCCGACGTTTTGCCGAATACCGCGAGTGCGCAACCAATTCGACCAGTCGGAGGAGCATGTACGGCGAGAGTAAACATTCAGGACGTCCTGTACCACATCGAGTTTCTCGTGTTCACCACTTGCTCCCACGACGTGATACTTGGAGGGGATTTTTCGTCACGCCACCCCGCCGTAAGTGGCTGCGCTCGC